AAAAAAAAAAATTTAATTTAAAATAAAATAATTGAATGGGTTAAATCGTAGTTATAATTTTCCACACCTTCTTTTTCTTCAATTATACAGTTTAGTTTTAAACTTTTATAAAAAATATTTATAAAAAAATTTGAAAGACACTTGAAAGGTATTTTTAGACAATAATAATAATAATAAATAATGTTTTTTTTTTATGGAATTATTATTCTAATTCGATAATCCGTATTTCTATAACGACTGCATTAAACGACTTGCATGTTTAAACCGTTGATTCGATCGCTATCACCCGCTTCAATTTGTTCTTTTAATAATTCCAATTCTCTTATGCCCGACACGGTTACCTCGTATTTATGAGTAACCAGGGATCTGTAAAAATGTATGGCGAAAGCTAAGAATATAATTAAAACCGGTATTAAAACGATGCAAGCCGACCAAGCAGCGTATTGTGAAAAATCGTAAAATTTAACCCAACACAATATGGCGATTTCGACTAAAAAAAGTAGCAAACCCAAAAGGGTGGAAAAAGCCCAGGCCGTTTCTATGTACCAGTGAAGTCTTTCGTGAGGAGATTCGTGGACCAGGTTAATCGAGTGAAGATTACACACGGCATCGATATTTGGCAAAATGCAAGTGCTTATCATTAAAGCAAGCATGTGTACGGCTACGAGGAGTGTTGTACAAATGGCGAAAGCTACCAGCATTTCAGGCGGAACCTGAGTTTTTTCGTTTAATTGTACTTCCACCATGGCAACCTAAAAAAAAGAAAAATTTCAATAACGTTAAATATTTACATAAGAAAATTAAATTTTTTTCGTTTTTCCCCGTGCCTGTTTTAAAATTTATCGTTAAAAATATTTACCATGGCAAAACCAGACAGTAAAGCTGATGTCTTACTGGAAGCTTTTAATTTGGCACGACTGAGTTGAAGTTTTCTCCAAGAGAGATAACTCGGAGTATGCAATTCATCTCCAGCTTGTGACATGTTGCCAGATCGAGCCTTTTGAAAACAAAAAAAAAAAACAAAAAAAATTTTTTTATATTTTATTGAAAATTTCTTTTTGTTTGAAAGTTTTGATTTATATTTAATCATACACAATCATTTACAAATCTATGTCAAAGATTTTGAAATGAATGCGACAGGAATAATAAGAACCTTTTTTTTTAAAACAAAACCAAAATAAATTTTTTTAAATGTGGCATGCAGTAATAATAATAATAAACGACCAAAACAATTGTTTTTTGTCTTTTTAAATAAATTTAACCATTGAACAAATTAATAATTATACCGATTGAATTTTATAATAATAATACTAAAATTTTAAAAAGCCAAACGCAAGAATATAAAGTTAAAAAAATATTTAAATGATTGATGGTGGAAAATGAATTTTTTTTTTTTTTTTGTAAGGAATGTTTAGTCGTAAGTAGAAACTTTATAAAATTTATTTTAAAACATTTATCAATCCTTCTTCTTCATCTTCTTTTAAATCCATTAACCCAAATACATCATTAAAGTTTTGACTTATATTTAAAAAATACACGCATTTTAAATAACTACTAACTACCTTCACACACACACAAATATATGAATTTTAAATTCTATTGTTTTTTTTTTTTTTTTCAATTTCTCCTATCGTAAAAAAAAAAAAATATATTATGCAATTCAGTAAATAATAATAATAATAATAAATAGTAATTTTTAATTAATAAATTAATAAATTTTGAATTAATTTTTTAAATTGCATGCACGTATTATAAAAATAACGGCTTACCAAAACGTTTCGCTCGAACATGTCATCCCAATCTTCTAATAATCCCAAAATTTAAATAAAAAGAAAAAAAGAAAAAAAAAAAAAAAAAGAAAAAATTAGGAGTGTTAGATTAATTAAATAATAAAAAAAAAAAAAAACAAACTATTACACAAGTGATAAAACAAAATTTTTTTTATAATAATAAATTAATAACTTTGGTTTTTTTTTATTTATTTATTTATTTAAATAATCGAATCTAACTGCATTTTTTTGTTCGTTTGAAAACTCCATTGCGAAAAAAAAAAAAAAAAAAAACAATTTTTTTTGGCCGTTACACATACAGAAATAACCATTATCTTATTTTTTTTTTTTTTACAAAGTGTTAAAAACCAAAATCACATTTGATAACATTCATTAAAAAAAAATTTATTAGTAAAAATATTTCATGAAATTTTTTTTGCAGAATAAAAATTATTGTTAAAATCCAATTCGAGTATATAAAATATACTGCAGAGAGAAAATTTTTGTGCCCTTGACTAAGCTAATGTCAAGTTTGCTAAGATTAAAATTCTTTTAATTGTCATTGACCAAAATGATTGGGCCACAATTAAATTTTTCAAACACATATTAAGACTAATATAGTATAATTCAATTTAAATCGTGCAGACATATTTAATAAATAACACCTTTTGTTTTTTGTTTTAATTTAATGAATAAAGAAAAAATTTTGGCCATTTTTTTTTTAAAAAACATTATGTAATTGTAATTAAACAGTTTTTACATAATGTTTTCCTAATAGATTTTGATAATTAAAATATGAAACCAAATTTTATTTAAAGAATGTTTTCTGTCGAATGGTAACAAAATGGAGTACAATTATTATCGTAAAAGCTGTACAAATGTTTAATTTAACTCACCACAGCCAATTAATCGAGGGTCTAAATATTTATTCCTGTTATGATGAAAATTTTGATTTAGAGGATTAAAATCCACACAAAAGGAAGTAGTTGTGTTTTTACAAAACATGAGATTCTAAATGTTATATTTCCACCCTGTATTGTTAAATTGAATTCTTCCAAACTCCAATTTTAATTTCATGTTTAAATTTTTATAATCGTATACCTAAAAAAACTGTGCAAGCAAAATTTTTATTATAAAATCTCTTTAAAAGTGATTTTAAATACAACAATATGTCAGATCAATTGTTTAATTAACATTTGTAATTAAATGAAAATTTCTTTAAATGTTAATACATACATCAAAATCAAATTGAAACATTTACAGATTCTAATGTATTAGGAGAATGACTTCTTAAAATAGTAAATGTATGTTATTATCCAAGATATTTACACACTCACATTGTAATCACCAATTTTTCAAAGGAAATGCTCAAGGTCCACTGAAAATATTTTTGCATTACATCTACAACAAATAAATTAATTTTAATCCTTATTATAAAATATTCCAAAAGGATAATATTTTTATTTAATATATTTAATAGTTAAACTTTACACCTATAAGATTATAAAGATTTTCAAATTAGTAATTGTAAGTGAAAATTGGAAAAAAATAAAACTTGAAATTTGCCTCTTGAAAAAAATCAATTTAGTCTAGATTTAATTTTTATATTTAATATTGTGCAGTAATTAGTACCTTTTTTTTTTTAAAAATAAATGCTGCGTAATTAATAATTGAAATAATTATTCTAAAGAAACCTTGTTAAATACTTGAAAAAAAAAAGAATATGTCATAAATTTTACATAACGTTCATTTAAAATAAAGCAAGGTAACAAAATAATATTTCATACTCACTTTTAAAATAAAAAATTTTAATTTAAAAAATTA